AAGATCATCAATGATGGTAGCAGTCATGGTGAGTAGATACTTTTAAACCACAAAACAATAACAACACAACTTCTACGCATATAAATAAAATTGGAATGTATGTATGTTTGTGAAAATGAAATAACCGCTTTTTACTACGATACATAAATACCAAAATAATTTTTTGGTTGTTTGTTCTAACTGATCTCTGAAATGACTAGAGCGATTTTGACGGGACTTTTACTTCTTTACGGGACGGTACCGCTGTCCGTGAGTCACTGCAGGGTTGTCACCTGAAAACCAGCGTTGGGCAGGAACGCTCAACTATATGCTGAGGTGGAGGCCCTTTTGGCATGAGCACGCGCACAGTTTATTTTTTGTAGAGGTATATTTAATTTCTGCTATTATCGTATTGTACATACATTATTTCGTTATACTGTGATGTTTTTTTTTCTAATCTACTCTTTTACGTTTCTTATTAATTTTTTGTTTATCTAAGTAAGTATCTGTATTTTTATTTTTTTAAATCTTTGTTATGAGTGCTAATTGCGAAATAGTTATTTTTCTTTCTTTTCTTTTATTTTCTGTTTATTCATCTGTATATCTTTTTTTAGTTTCAGATGAAGAATATATAGTGCGTCCATGTGCTCTTCACGATCTTAAATGCATCCAGCGGTATTTCGTTCAAAATTCTCAATGCGAACTGCCAAGTGGACCTACTCCAGACTCCTATAGGCTCAAAAGTGTACCCATGTACTTACCTCACGTCAATGTCACCTTCATACTGACTGATGTGGACATCAAGGGATTCAAGGACTATAAAATTGTTGATTTCTAGTAAGTGTCTAATTGTATAAGGTATACTACGGTAAATTTATATGTGTCGTGGTGGCCCGGAGGTTTAAGACGCCCGCTTCTCACGCATGAGGGTGCAGGTTCGAAACCTACCAACGGCAAGTACCAATGTGACTTTTTCCGAGTTATATGTACTTTCTAAGATTATTTAGACACCACTGACAAACGGTGAAGGAAGTAACATCGTAAGAAAACCTGGACTTATAATTTCTAATTAGAAGTTTGAAATCGCCAACCCGCATTGAGCAAGCGTGGTGATTAATGCTCAAACCTTCTCCGTGTGAGAAGAGGCTTTGCTCAGCAGTGGGCATTTATAGGCTGTTGATGATGATGATGATGATGAGATTTATATGAACACAGGCGCATTTTGAAGAATTGCTGATACTGATTTTATCCCCGAAATGGTAGGCAGAGGTGCACATTACGGCACTTAATGCCACTGTACAATGTAACACCCATTTTCACTATTTATGTTGTGCGTCCCATGTAATAGGGTGTGAGCCTATTGTCATATACCGGACGCATTTCCAGACTCCGTGCTACCACTGAGATTTTCTTAAAAAAACTCTGTGATACTTTGCCCGACCCAGGAATCGAACCCCATGCTGAGTCGCACGTGCGACCACTCGGCCTACAAGGCAATCAGTACTGATTTCAGCAACTATATATGTATTCTTGTTACCTATTTCTTAGTATCGTTTCAAATAACTTTTATTGAGAGGGAAATTCATTCAAGGACTTCTCCCGTTTTGGGTGAGGCGAGAGAAGTAAGACTATATACCACCCCGTTACTGCTCTTGGAGCTGCTGTGTCAAATATTCACGAGATGATTTTGAACACTTTTTTAAATAAAATGTTACTAACGTGAATATACTGAGAAAATCTCTACTAGTTTCGGACCACGGAGGGGTTCTTCCTCACGAGCAGCGTGCGCGGTCGCGGCGCTACTACTAAAGCTTTTCTCAGTATATTCACGTGAGTAACCCGCGAATTTATTTAATTTAGTATGTCTCACGATAGTTATTATAAAAACATAGCAAACTTTTTAGTATCTTTTACACATTTATCGTAATTGTTTCAGTGTAAACAAAAAGACTGATACTGTTCTATTTGAGGTGGAACTCCACAAAATATGGGTGTATTCTCCAAGAACTATAATCACCTACCACAGGAAGGGGAAGGAGCCGTTGGATTTAGTTGATTATGCGTACATAGAATACTGTTAGTATTACAGCATTATGTTTACTTTTAAATTAATCCTTCGTATTATCAGTTGTGTAATAAGGTAGCTGCCTAATTTTTATTTTAATGTCCGTTTGGTAGATTATTTTAAATCATTAGACACGTATTTTTTATTTTAAACTAGCTTTTACCCGCGGCTTCACTCGCGTCACAAAAGGATAAAAGTAGCCTATGTGACATATACTAATACATACAGCGCCATCTATACCATTACTTTTGTTTTCCCTCGAGAATTAAAATTTTTTCCGGAATAAAAAGTACCCTATTATTTTATCCACAATTCTAACTTACGTCTGCAAAAAATCTAACCAATCGGTTTAGTAGTTACGGCGTGAAAGTGGAACAAACAAACAAACAAACAAACTCACTTTCCAATTTATAATAATAGTAAGGATGTCGAGTGACGTAACTTCTATATACATTTCATACGTAGAAATGAGGTTTTAGCCCCCACTCCTAAACTTTGATTCGTTTTATCTAAGTATTGTTTTATTATAAGTACTAAAAAATAAAAAAATACGCGTCTAATATTTTTTCATTACCTAACTTACGGACTAATTATATTTTTAATTTTTATACCTCGTCATCATCCCAATTCTAAACAATGTTTTCTTTCAGTGAATCTGTCGCTAACATTAACTGCTCCTCATATTTATAACATCGATATGTCTAAAAATCATGTCTACACTTACGTAAGTGATGCTCATCCTAGAACTGGACTTGGACCTATTTTTACACATAATAAAGGTAATAGTATTATTTTAGATACAATGTAGTCTTCTAATTTAGGATTAAAAATTTAAAACTGGTACCGAAATTTTTAGCCTTAGTTAAAAACCGTGTGTTGAATGAGAAAACTAACGCCCGAATACTAAAAGGCTACTCAATTTATTCTCAAGGCATCTCTGCATTTAACAAAGAATTCGTAGTGAAAGAAATATACATAAGCGCGAATTAAAATTGAGTAGCGTTTCAGTATTTGGGGATTTTGATGCGCGAAGCGAATCAATTCGCAAGTTCTTGCGATGCGTAGAGAGAGCTTGCACATTTTTTGTGATGCAACGTCGCATCACATTTTTATTGTGTACGAGCCCCTAGTATGTCATTGCGAATGTATAATGTCATAGAAAACAACATTTCACTTAAGGTGACAAACGAAGAATGCATAATATTAAAGACTAGAAGATTTAAAATAAGATGGCATTTGAAAGAATAGAATTTAGAACTATCAGGGATTGTACAAAGATACAATTTTATCAAACGACCTATTATCCTTCTTGATCAGAAGATTTCTTTACTTCTTGGTGTATGGGCAATACAATATGAATTTTCAATTTATTTTCGTTAATCTAGATGCACTTGTTCATTACAGATGAATACGTGAGAAGTACGACGAAGCTTCTACTGCACAGAATCGCCATAGGCCTCCGGGAAGCCTTTGTGACACAAGGCGAAATCTTCTTCTTCTTGTTCTTCCAAAGCAATATATGCGCACACTATAACTAGATGATGTTGATGATGATATTATTCTCTGTTTATGGACCTGCTACTATATTTTATCCCTTTCTTTTTGAAATTGTAAATAAAGAGACTACGCCTGTATGAATTGATAACTATGAATAAAAATTCAACTCTGTGTTTTATGTTTGGTTGTTTTTGACCCTGTCCTTACGAGATTTTATTTATTTAAGTTTAATCTAGTGTCAGTATAGTTTTTTTTTTGAGCGGGTAAAAACATGCAATGGCATCTCCTGCCTGGGTGAGGCGGGAGGGAGTGTCAGACTCTTACTGACTAAAAACCACCCCGTTCCTACTCCTGGCTTGAAGCAGGAGTTGGAACGGTGCAGTTTTTAGTCACAAACCCGCCTCAACCTCACAAAAGAGCTGCAACTCCTGTGAGCCAGAATTTAAAGTAGACACAACCATGAAAACAACGGAACACTAAAGTCCCAGGAACATGATTAACTGTCTTGAATCCCAGTACTAAATAAATCAAAATATAATTATTAGACAAGGAAGAGACGATAGTTTGGTTCTAGTTCTTAGCCAGTAAGACACCTGATTCTCTCATTTGCCTCGCCCAGAGCAGGGTTAGTCAATTGATCGTTTTGCCCCTCAAAATAAAAAGACTGCCTGCATTATCATTTTAGGAATATCGTATTTAAAATTGTACCCAATGTATGACAATGGGCTCTCCTCCAATTACATGGGACTCATAACAACTATATCAATACTTTTTTCGAACTGTCAAAAACGACAGTTTCCTATGAATTTTGTACAACATTTTGTATTGTGCATCACCTTTTTTGCGTCAATCCGCATACCTACTTATTTCTTTAAAAAATTGCTAGAAAAATACTAAAATTAAGTTAGTCATAATATCAATAAATCAAAGTGTGATTATTGTTTAATATTTTATTGTATTGAACAGTCGCAATAATTTACATATTTTTGATTAAGGCAAGTACCCCATTACCCTGTATGTCATGTTACGTAGTCGATAATCAGTGTTTCCCTGTATGTTAAAGGTATTTGAGATTATAACTATGTACAATTCTCCTGTCTCGTGGGTGCGTTTTATTTACAAGCATACAAGTTCACATACACGGCAACCAGACCCGGAACAACAATTTGTGGATCATACAAAGAGTAATCGAACCCGCGACACGTTGCGCGGCAGCTGGTTGCTCAGCTTCCGTCCGTGCCGTCAAGAAACAAAACCATGAACCGGCAAACGCATGACAGTGGAAATTTTGTGGCTTATAATTATGATGATGAAGAGTAATGCAATGTATTCGTGGGCAATTTCAAAATTGTATCATCAGAAAAAAATAATTTTAATTTAGTACTACATAACACGCAATCCACACGTTCACTTCTACCCATCTGGATGATGTTTTAAATATCTTTATAATAATTTTCAGACCGTGTTTTTGGCAAGGACCTCCACCATGAACGTTCCATCGTCAGGCCCTGCGCCATCCACGATGTGTACTGCATCCGAGAGTTTTTCACATACAATACCCAATGTTCCATTACTGAAGGACCAGCTCCAGACCCCTTCATACCTCACAAGATCGGCTTAAACACACCACATGCAAATCTTACCTTTACTTTAAACAATCCAAGAATTAAGGGCCTTAATAATTGGAAAATTAAGGAATTTTAGTAAGTATTTAAGTATGAATTCAAAAATGTTATGAATTTTATGGAATAGTCGAAAAACAAGCCAGGAAAGCAACGGCAAAAACAAAGTATGCTAAAAGTGTATGAGGGATTGGACTGAATAGTGAAATAATAAACATAATATCATGATAATGATAACAAATAAACATAATAAAATCATAACAATATGATTCATATGATTAATATTACGAATTACAAAGAAATATCGTTGAAATTCAAAAAATTACAATATCGTGACTTACGAGACTTATTTTTACTTTAAAAGTATCAAAATGTGATTGCCATTTAAAAAAAATTTGTACTGAGATACGCTTGACTGCACGGTTGGTGCGGTGGCTGGGCAACCGGCTGCCGTGCAACGTGTCGCGGGTTCGATTCCCGCACGGAACAACACTTTGTGTGATCCACAAATTGTTGTTTCGGGTCTGGGTGTGATTGTGTATGTGAACTTGTATGTTTGTAAACGCACCCACGACACAGGAGAAAATCCTAATGTGGGGCAACGTTTTTTTATAAAACAAAAACAAAACAAGCTTGATTCTAATATGCTTGATTTGAAAACCCTCATAAAATCTTTTAAAAGATTTTATTTTATTTCTCCTCGCCAATTTTTTTTGTTCCTTTTCAGTATCAACAAAGCCTCAGGCATATTGGTGATGGAAGTGGGCTTTAGCAGTATAGTGGTGGATACTCCTAAATGTATAGTCACATATTATCGCAAGGGCAAGGAGTCTTTACATACATCTGATTTCACCAACATTGAATACAGTAAGACATTGACAATATTATGTTCCCTATTTCTTTTCTTATTTAATCTGAACCAATTGAATAACCACGCTGTTTTTATACATGGACGTGTCATGTTTTTAATTATAGTGATGGTTTTAGTTTTATTAGTAAGAGTATAATCGTACTTCTTTCATTTTTCTTTGAAATCTCCCAACTTTTTTTAAGTAGCGCCTTTTTAAAAATGTTCATACAGCTCTAGAGCCTAAATGACGCTTAACAATTTAAGAATTTACTGTAAAATATAGGCATGCCTACATATAGGTAGTTATAAAAAAATAAGTTTTATTTAAATAGAAAATATGAAATCGGAATGCAAAGGAAAGTTTTTTTTTATGATATAAGCCGGTAAACGAGCAGACGGATCACCTGATGGTAAGCAATCGTCGCCCTCGCCGCCCATGGACACCTGTAACACCGAGGCGTTTCAAGTGCGTTACCGGCCTTTTGGGAATTGGGAATTTGAGGATTGTGGAGGATTCAGGAATAGGGGAGCCTGGGGAGGGGGGGGCGTAATTGGGCCTCCGGTCACTCACACGACGAAACACAACAAGCGTTGTTTTCTGTGAGGCCGTGCTATCACTTCGGTCGAGCCGGCCCATGCGTGCCGAAGTATGGCTCTCCCACACTTATCCCTTATAGTTTACCCTCCGTTAATTAAAGTAACTCTTCTTTTTCTTCAACAGAAGACCTATCTATGACCTTGACAATTCCTGACATCAAAGACCCTCAGCTGTCAGAAGCCCATGTCTTCACGTATGTACCTGACGGCAAACCGGAGTATGTACTTGGACCTAACATCTTCAAGACTAAAGGTGAGACTTTTTTAAGGGGTGACAATCATCCATTGGCTTCTCCCGTCTTGGATGAGGCAAGAGAGAGTGTCAAACTTCATCATCATCATCATCATCATCAACAGCCTACAAATGCCCACTGCTGAGCAAAGCCTCTTCTCACGCGCAGAAAATTGGGCATTAATTACCACGCTTGTTCAATGCGGGTTGACGATTACAAACGTATAATTAGAAATTACAAACCCAGGTTTCCTCACGATGTTTTCCTTCACCGTTTGTCAGTGGTGTCTGAATAATCTTAGAAAGTACATATAACTCGGAAGAAGTCACATTGGTACTTGCCGTTGGTAGGTTACGAACCTGCACCCTCATGTATGAGAAGCGGGCGTCTTAAACCTCCGGGCCACCACGACATTATAAGGTCAGACTTTTATTGACTGAAAACCATTTCGTTCCTACTCCTGCTTTAAACCGGAGTCCTGGTAACCAGATAAGAGGTCCGCAGGGTAATATAAGATAAGGTTATTTTAATTAATACGTTACAGCTTAAAAATCTGCTACAGCTTACAAAGAGATTTTATAGGATAGTTTGATGAGACTTCACTACTTCCTCGATCTGATGATTAAATGTTATTGCTAAGCAAAGGGGTCTAATCTCTTAAGCCGATCAAAATTATTAGGTTATTCAAATCTATTTTATATAAGAATACGGATATAAGAAACATATTGGGAGTGACTTTTTTTTTGCTTTTTCTATTGTAATTATTGTAAAACCTTTTATTTGTTACGTGTTTGAGAAAATATATTATGTTTTTTTTTCTTTTTTCAGATCCGGGATTTCAGAAAGCGCTCATTGATTTAGAATCTAGAGTGGACATAAGTCTTGTTGAACTCTTCGTTACACAGGGTCCCATGCTGTTTTCCAAGTTCTTCCAAAGTAATATTTGTGATTTTGAACACTAGTTACTTTATCAATAAACTCGGAATATATTTTAATAATGTTTTACTGAATTTATAATAGGGATGATAACAGGGTATAAAAATTAAAAATCTAATTAGTCCGTCAGTTAGGTAATAAAAAAATATTAGGCACGTATTTTTTTATTTCGTTGTAACAATACTTAGATAAAACGAATCAAAGTTAAGGAGTTAGGTAGCTATGATATTTTAGAGTATAAATCGTACTCAAAAGTGACGTCATGCGATATTGTAAATCAATATATTTTCGAAACTATTAGTTTTCGTAAGAAAAAAAAAATACGTGTCTAATATTTTAAATAATCTACCAGACGTAAAAATTAGTCATCTACCCTATTGCGTAGTATTATTGTAATCTTCAACTTTTTTTAAATCAATTACAAGGTCTCTATTTAAATGTATTAAGGTATCTATTCCTTTACACGCTAATAAATAATTTGCATTCAGAGCTTGTATATTTTATGTCCTATAAAGTTAAGGGTTTGCAACCTACCGAGTACCAATGTGACTTTATCCGAGTTATATGTACTTTCTAAGATTTTAAACATCATTGACAAACTGTGAAGGAAAATATCGTGAGGAAACGTGGATAAGTTTGAAACCGCCAATCCACATTGAGCAATTGTGGTGATTAATGTTCAAACTCTCCGTTCGAGAATAGGCCTTTGGTCAGCAGTGGGCATTTGTAGGCTGTATACTCTTTCTTTTAACCATTTCCTAAAAATATCTGTGTTAAAAATCAGCATCCAGACCGGAAATTTATTATCTAGGTTTTACTAAACCTAGTCTATCTACAAGGCACGTTTTAGTGAATAAAGGAACAAGGTATGAACATTGTTAGTACCCACCACAGGGGAATGGGATGATAATATTACACGGCTACCCTAGGGCCAAACGACCAATTTATTATTTACTAGACAAGAGTAACACGGATAGCCTTCTGGATTGTTCCTTTATTTATTTAACGAATGGTTTTTAGACGCCACTTGCAAGATTACTGTTGAATTTTCCGGAGATAAGGTTTGAAAGTGAGCTTGAACTGATTTCTTTAGCTTAACTATGTAATGTAATATAAGGTCATGTGATGTTTTTATAATAACTATCGTGACATGCTGCATTAACTAAGAATTATTTATTACTCATGCAAATATGTTGAGAAAAGCTCTACTAGTTTCGAGTCACAGAGGGACTGTCGTCGGTGCATTACTATGACCAGAGGCGGCGACGCGCGTGACGGGGGTATAAACCCACGGCCGCGCGAGCGCCGCGCTTCTTCTTCTACACACTCGTTTCACCAACGGACTAACTTTTAGGCATTTCTTTGTGTCGGTCTTGATGGTGATTTGTGAAATAAATCTATGTATTGTGCAGTCTACTGTTTTACTCAAAATATCCCGACAAGGAATCTTCCTGGCTTGGCAATGTCGCGGTCGCAACCGCGCACGTTGCTCATAAGTAAGAGTCCCTTTGTGACTCGAAACTAGTATAGCTTTTCCCAGTATATTTACGTAAGTAACTCGTAATTTTAAGTTAATTAAGTCATGTGATGTCCAATTTAATTCGTGGATGTGTAAGAAATGCAAGTGTATACATGGAATGTAAAAGCAAATGCAATGAATGTCTCAATTTCAGAACTCCAAGTTGGTTATTTAATTATTAAATGTAAAGTATAAAAAATAATTTAATTCTGTGAAGGCGTAAATATTTGCATGGCTTGGGGAGAAATCCCGAACTTCAAAATGGTGCTGGGCAACCGGCTGCCGCACAACATGTAATGGGTTCGATTCCCGGACGGAGCAACTCTTTGTGTGATCCACAAATTGTTGTTTCGGGTCTGGGTGTCATGTGTATGTGAACATGTTTGTTTGTAAACGCAACCACGACGACAGAAGAAAATCCTAGTGTGTTTTCAAAAGCTATAGTATTGATATTGATAAAGACTATTACTAAACAGAATAATTGCAACACAGCGAGACAAAACCAGTTTATCATAGTCTTGCTTTGTATAATGATACCGCACGTTCGCGGATCAGTTTAAACAGGTTTAATACAGCTTGATTAACAAAAATTTGAAAAACAGAGTACCCCGGGTACTAAAACAAAGAGACTGATTGTCTTGAAATTCCACAATACATCTTACAACTTACCTTATCCTGCTAATCCCCACTTAGCTTACGTTAGACGTCCACAGGTGCATACACCCAATGTTCTGCTAATCCCGTATAATTAAGGTGTACAATATTAACGTAGTACGTTCCACCTTCAGTCTATTATTCAATGGATACCGGTCCAAGTGTGGCAAGATTACATTCTGAGATTGCGAATGTATTATGAAGATTTGATGAAGTTTTTGGTTGGAATTGTTTTGGTGTACGTCGGTGTTACGAGGCAAATTCTGTTTTGGACTTTTTAGTATGCTGGTATTTTAAGGGTGGTATTTAATACTTTAACTGTAAACTCCCTCTTTCTGATCATAATATTCGAAATTACCACCAAAAATACTGAAATTACACACTAAATTTGTCACCAAATAAGTTAATTATACTATACTGTTAAATCTTTAAAGCTTTACTGCTTTACTGAATGACTATCTTTTAACTAAAAGTAAATCTAATAATTCCTAACCTAACCTAACTTAACCTATTTTGAAAATTCCGTAGTAATATTGAACAAATTGTGTGCAAATCAGTATTTTTGTTTTACGGTGAGTAATATGTAGTTAATTTGTAGTACAGTATTTTTTTTTGATATGGAGTTATTAGTGGAGAAATTTGGTTTGCTTAAATTTCTAAATAGAGGTGCAGTAAAAAAATCCCCGTATTTTAACATGGTATTTTTGTATCAGCGCTTTTAAGGTGCATTTTGTATTATTTATATTTATATCACAAAGGTAAGTATCTTATAATCTAAGCCCCACAAAACCGTTGCAATAATGATTTGAGTGTGGAGTACATACATACATACATAACTTCACGCCTGTCTCCCATGGGGGTAGGCAGAGACTAAGGAACGCCAATTACTACGATTCTTACATACCTCTTTCGCTTCATTAACAGTCATCAATCTTTTCATGCATGCTCGTCAGTGTGGAGTCTCTAGACATTAAAATTAAATGTACTTACAATTAAATATTCAAGTAATCAAGTATTTTTTGCATCCATAATGTACATATACAGGTGGTTAGAAATTATATAATTATGTAAAAAAGTAACAATGATGGACCCTGTCGGGCACAGCAACATTTAATATCGGTAGGAGAGAGGAAGGGCATTTTGTTAGATTAATATTCGGTAATATAATAAAAAATTAGTAAAAAAAAGGTTATTGTTTCCGCTTCGGGGATAAAAGGCGTGATATTATGTTATGTTATGTTACTGAGGATTATTCACTGGTTTGATGGAACTATTTTGAGTTGTCTTATGAAAATTCAAACCATATTGTTGTATGTAAGGACTGCTTTTTTCCGTAGTTACATAACTAACCTCAAAACTTAAACTGAAAATCAAAGGACATTAAAACCCCACAAAATAAATAGATAATTTTTATTTCCTTAGAAAATACGACATCTCCCCTCTTTTATGTCCAATTTATGCTATCATACAACTTATTTTTATGCGCAACGGCGGTCCATAGAAGAATGGGCAATCTCCTTTTGTATATTGTGCAGGTGTTGTAACTTACACTTAAATAGAACTTAAGACACAGAACAACACAGACAAGGTTGGCGCGGTGGCGCAAACTAAAGATTTTTTTTTATTTTTTTAAAACCATGACCCCATTTTTGTTTTTTCTTCTGTGTCGTGGGTGGGTGCGTTTATAAATATACAAGTTCACAAACATATGACCCCCAGACCGGGAACAATATTCTGTGGATTACACAAAGAGTTGTTCCGTGCGGGAATCGAACCCACGTCACCTTGCGCCACAGTAGACTTTCGGTGGTCGATTATAACATAATATAACATCACGCTTTTTATCCCCGAAGGGGTAGGCATTGTACAGTGGCATAATGTACACCTCTACATTATGCCACTGTACAACGTAACACCCACTTTTCACTATTTACATTTAAGTTCCATTTAATAGGAGTAAGCTTATTACAATATACCGGGCACAATTTCAGACTCCGTAGTACTACTGAGAATTTTAATTTAAAACCGAGTAACACTTTGCCCGACCCGGAAATCGAAACCAAAACCTCTTGCTCGGCAGTCGTACATGCGACCACTCGACCAACGAGGCAGTTGGGACCGATGGTCGCCATGTAAATAAACAAAGTTACATTTAACTTAATTAAAACCTATATAAAACCCCATCGTTACTATATTTCCATTCACTTCCCCGCCTTTGTTATTAAAAACAAATAAAAGAACAATTCTTTTACAATTTCTTTGTTTTTAAACAAATTGAAATTGATGCTACATCAATGACAGTGCAGATTTCAAAGACCTTTTATTACTGTGCAGATATGAACATTAATAAAGCTTGGTAATTAATACTAATTATGTTTTAAAGCTAATGTGTTTGCGTGACTTTCCATTTTGTGTTCATTAATGGTATGAAAGATTGTAACTACTACAGATCGAGTTATACACTACCAGCTTATCTTGGTCTACCTTTGTATGATCTATCTGCACAATTGAAGATCAGGTTATAATTGGTGTGTAAGCTAGTAGCGATGTGTATGTGATTTTAATATTATTAACTGTATTCATGTTTTTGTGAGTTGGAAGTGTGACAGCTTGTAGTATCGGGTTCAGTTTCTAGGTTGGGTAAATGTGGTTAAGATTGTGGGACTTTTTATGAGTGGTATTAAAATTGTGTCCGATATTTGGCAATAGGTCTCTTAATTCTTCTTAATTGCATTATCTACAATATAACTCGTGTAAAGTTATAGGTAAGTCAGTTGTCAGCAGTTTAGTCCTGATTATACATGGAACTGTCATGTGTGTGTGTATATATTTTTTCGTCAAGAATTGAGCACAATTCTACAAAGCTAAATATTTTTACTAAAAACAGTATAGTTTTGTTACCAACATACTAAATAAAATACAACCAATATCAGAATGTTAATCTATTTTTTTTTTTATACAAACAACACTCACCGTTTCATATTCCATTTACAAAATTCAAAAACAGAACGAGAAGAAAACGAACTTACAATGACGTGGAAAATGGCCAGGCATAAAAAGCAAAGACTAAAAAATAATAAAGGGGTAAAAGATTTGTACCTACACGCATAGCAGGTAAACCTACTCCAACCTGACAATGATGTCAATGTATTTTCGACTTTATTTATCAACACAATAAAGATGAAAATGGAACTTTACAGAAAGGTGTACATTGAAGTGCTGTTGTCTATACGTGGTTTCGCCAAAAACATATGACATTAGACTTAATTGCATTGCCTGCCAGCTAATCAGGGATATGAGGTGGCCTCACAAAGGACTTCCGTTGACACCGTTCGCACACAATATTATTGTATTGTGTATAGGTACAATGTACGGCGGTTTTTCGGTGTGCTAATGTTCACTGCGGATTTTATTCTTTGTCTTTCATTGTTGTTTGTTGATTAAAAGAAAATTTTGAGTTGATTTCTTTGTAGTTTTTTTCAAATAAACGTGTGTGGAGAGAATTTGTAGTTTTTATTTTGACTGATAGCAATTAGTTGATCAATGTGTTACGCTACGGTGCAATAGACGGCCCAACGGTGTAAATGAGGAACTTTTGTGCATCGCGACAACTTTCCGTACACGAGGCGCGAACTCAGCATAAATTGTCGATCTAATTTCAACCCGTGTAAAGAGCGTCATTCTTGGTACAACATCGACCAATTATCACCTACTTATTGTAATTTTAATTAATTAAAGTTATATTTTAAGAAACAATTTGGTTTCCTTTGCATCCTCCGGCTACAGCCTACGTAATTGGCGCAGTCGGTAGGATACTCGCGGGCCGGTTCGCGAGAGTAAATTGCTAGGATCGCTAATAGTCCTCAAAGTCGCGAGCCACCCGGGTGGTTATCAAGCACCGCACGAGTATCCGAATCTGGGAGAGCTGCAGCCACGAGGGGTATCCAGACATCGATACAGTAGAGGTACCATTTTGTGCAAGTAAGTACGCTAGAATCGTTCTAGAGTCGCTTTCCATTTTATCCTTAAGTGTTTCCCTAATTATCCAAGATTTTCCATCCAAGGCAATCTCGGTTATCTAGGTTAGATAGTAATAGTAATAGAATTAATATTTTAGACGCTAACAGAAATTTAGAAGCATACCCGTGTGAAAGTAGTAGTTCTCACGCTTCGAATATGGCTGAATCAGTGGATCATATTTACAAGGCCCTACGACTGGTGCCGGAATTCGACGGTAACTCGAACGTATTAACTCGCTTTATAAAATTATGTGATCAACTGGTAAATCAATACATGAGGAACGAGCCAGGTCGTGAATTAATTAATTTGGCATTATTAAATGGAATTTTAAATAAAGTAGTAGGGTCGGCAGCGAGGTTGATTAATACGAACGGGATTCCAGATTCCTGGGAAGGAATAAGAAGTTCTTTAATAAATAATTTCGCCGATCAGCGTGATGAAACGTCCTTGTATAATGACTTAGCCCTTTTAACTCAAGGTACGGCAACTCCCCAAGAATTTTATGAACAATGCCAAAATCTTTTTAGTACCATTATGACTTATATCAGTCTGCATGAAACGGTAGCCACTACTATTGAATCAAAGCGCACTCTTTATAAAAAACTTACACTACAGTCGTTCTTACGTGGCTTACGTGACCCGTTAGGTTCTCGTATTCGTTGCATGCGGCCTGATACTATTGAAAAAGCCCTTGAGTATGTACATGATGAAATGAATACGCTATACTTACAGCAGCGCAATGAACGTGCTCCTGAAAAGAAGTTGCAGTATCAGCATCAGGTTAGTCCGAGATTTTCTTATGGTTTTAAGCCACCCGTGCAAACGGCGCCGCCTTCAGCGCACCCGTTTACCTTATCGCCTCCTAGGCCTTTTAATATACCAGGACCGTCGCGACTATTCACGCCTCAGACTCAACAACCATTGTTGAGGAATCAACCCCCTCAATACCGTGGTCCCTCACGGACTCAACAGATGTTTAGTGCGCCACCACCTAATAATGGACCGCAGAATGTCTTTAGAATGCCAGGCCCTAAGCCTTCCGGGAGTAATTTACCGCAACCTATGAGTGGTGTTAGTCACTACGTAGCAAAACCATTCGCCCCGCGTCCAACCCACGATTGGTCGAGAGCTGGTAACCCACCACCTTCGAATTATTTTAAAACAAAGCAGGTAAATTATAACGATTTTACATGCCCGGTCGAGTATGATTACTACAACGATTTTTACAATACCGATAATTATTATCCTTATGATTATTTCGAAAATTCTTACGAATTTAGTTGCGAGCAACCACAGACTGAAGATACGTACACCATAGAAGAAGTTCCTTGCACTCAGCCTTCTGATAATGAGGATTTTCCGAAGGACTCCAAATCAGACAAATTAAAATAGAAATAAATTTACATACCCAGAGACAGTTACCATATATTCAAATTTCAAATCCCCCGCTCAAATTATTAATCGATACAGGTGCAAATATGTCGTTCGTCAGTCCAGCTGTCGCTCAACAATTCTTTCCTCACGTACCATACAATTACGACCCTTTTGAAGTCACCAATATTCACGCTACTACTAGAACTGACTACTCCATCACTATACCCTGTTTTAAAGAATTTAATGAGTCGGGTGATATTACTCTCTCCGTGTACGCGTTTCACGAATATTTCGACGGATTGATTGGCTATGACTTATTAGAAAAATTAGAATCTACCATAGACTTAAAAAATAAATTGCTAATTACACGGAACTCTAGTAATCCATTATTAATGTATAATTCACGCAACAGCAACCTATACGAAGACATAATACCGGCTAACTTATCTAAATTAATTAATGTCCCTATAAATTCTCAAGACGGTGAAGTTTTCATTCCTGAACAACGAATCTCAAACTGTTTAATAGGCAATTGCATTACAAACGTTAAAGATAGTAGAGGCATAATAGAAGTTACTAACTCATCACGTCATGATGTAATCTTCTCAATGGATCGTCCCGTTAGCGCAGAAATATTTAATATTCAAGGCTTGCATTCTGAACAGTACGATTCCCGTGTTAAAGAAGTATTAGCACGATTACGAACAGAACATTTAAATCCCGAGGAGAAGGCTAACTTAGAGACACTTTGTGCCAAATACGCTGACGTATTCTATATAGATGGTGAACCATTATCTTTCACAAATCAGGTAAAACATTCTATTAAAACTACGGACGAAGTACCAATCTACACTAAAAGTTACCGATATCCTTTTGTACATAAGCAGGAAGTTCAGGATCAAATCTCTAAAATGTTACAACAAAATATTATACAGCCTTCACAATCTGCTTGGAGTTCCCCCATCTGGGTTGTGCCCAAAAAAGCCGACGCCAGTGGAAAAACAAAATGGCGCTTGGTCATAGATTTCAGAAAATTAAATGAAAAAACTATTGACGATCGTTATCCTATACCCAATATTGCTGACGTATTAGATAAGTTAGGCAACTGTCAATACTTCACTACATTAGATCTCGCAAGCGGATTTTATCAAGTTGAAATGAATCCAGACGATATCCATAAAACCGCGTTTACAGTTGAACATGGGCATTTTGAGTTTCTCCGTATGCCAATGGGCTTAAAAAACTCACCATCCACCTTTCAACGCGTGATGGACAATGTCTTAAGGGACCTTCAAAATGTCATATGCTTAGTATATTTAGATGATATCATAGTATTTTCAGTATCCCTCCAGGAACATATGGTAAATTTGGAAAAGGTCTTTCAGAGACTCAGGGAATCAAATTTCAAGATTCAAATGGACAAATCAGAGTTTTTGAAATTAGAAACAGCCTATTTGGGACACATTATTAGCAAAGATGGGATCAAACCCAACCCTGATAAAATCTCGGCTATCCAAAAATTCCCGATACCTAAAACAGCTACTGAAATTAAACGCTTTTTAGGTCTATTAGGCTATTATCGGAAATTTATCCCGGACTTTGCCCGAATAACAAAACCAATGACACAGTGTCTCAAAAAAGGTTCAAAGATTAGTCTAAATGATCCAAGTTATATCAGCTGTTTTGAAAAGTGCAAAACCCTTTTAACTAATGATCCTATCCTACAATACCCAGACTTTAATAAGGAATTCATTCTAACAACTGACGCTTCTAATCTGGCCATTGGTGCTGTTCTATCCCAAGGACAAATAGGTAGCGACAAACCCATATCGTACGCATCGCGCACACTAAATAGTAGTGAGATTAACTATAGCACGATTGAAAAGGAACTATTAGCAATAGTATGGGCGACGAAATACTTCCGCCCCTATCTTTTTGGAAGGAAATTCAAAATTGTAACGGATCATAAGCCATTGCAATGGGTTATGAGTTTAAAGGAACCGAATTCTCGACTTACCCGTTGGAGGTTAAAATTAAGTGAGTATAACTTCACGATCATCTACAAGCAGGGTAAATTCAACACCAACGCGGATGCTCTATCTCGTATCGAAATAAATCACGAGGATGTTAGTTCAATTACAGTTAACCCATCGGAGAAACCACCTTCTCTTACTGGTTCAACCACATTGACAGCCCATACTAGTACCGAAGATCCTATATTAGAAATCCCAATATCTGATGAACCATTGAATAAATTCTACCGTCAAGTGTGTCTAGTAGTTGTTGGAGATATTAAAAAACGCCCCACTGTAACCAAACCATTTGACACTCACGTTAAAACCACTATACAGGTATCTGAGTCTAATCTTGAAAGTGATGTTATTAATGCCATTAAAGAAAACGTTAATCCTAAAGTAAAAACCGGACTAATTATTCATCCACCACTAGCTATGTATCATATTATTCCAATTATTCAAAGTAATTTTAAAAGTTCTGCTTTAAATATGGTCTTGACGAAGAAAGAAACAGAAAACGTTAAAGACTATATGAAACAACAGGAAATTATTCGCAATTATCATCAAGGAAAAACTAACCACCGCGGTATAACAGAATGTTATCTTACCTTGTCGCATCGTTACTACTGGCCCAAGATGAAAGAAAGTATCGCAAAATTTATTAATGAATGCAGAGTGTGTGGGCAGGCAAAGTACGATCGAAACCCCGTCAGGCAAGAATTCTCTATAGTTCCTCCTCCAACCAAACCCTTTGAAACTGTACATCTCGATCTGTTCACAGCCGAACATGAGAAATTCCTTACCATAGTTGATGCTTTCTCGAAATATGCGCAAGCATATCATCTCAGAGATGGTACAGCTATAAGTGTCATTCAAGCTCTTCTAACATTTTGCACCCATCATGGCGTTCCATATACTATCATTACAGATCAAGGACCAGAATTTACCAATGCACTTTTCTCGGAATTTATTCGCCTACATAAGATACAGCATCATAAAATACTTGCACATACTCCTAACGATAACGGAATGATAGAACGGTTTCACTCCACGATTCTTGAACATCTTAGGATCCTTAAAATAGAAAAGCGTAATGAACCCGTAGAACATCTCATGCCTTACGCAATTCTAGGTTATAACAGTTCCATTCACAGTTTTACCAAATGTAGGCCCATAGATTTGATCACAGGACATTTTGATCCCCGCGATCCTCTTGATGTCAATTTATCCGAACACTTATTACAACAATACTTAGAGAACCATAAGAAACGTTTAATTCAAGTTTATGAAACGATAAATGAAGCTTCACAATCTCACCGGATTGAATTAACTGAAAACAGAAATAAAAATCGCGAACCTGAAAAGGAATACCATCCTGATCAACAAGTATTCATTCGCAATCCCCTGGCCAGTAGACAAAAGTTAGCTCCGCGTTTTACTCATGATACAGTCTTAGCTGACCTTCCTATACACATATATACCAAAAAGAAGCGTGGTGCTGTTGCAAAGTCTCGCATTAAGAGGAGCCCTAAAGAACCTATATTGTTACAGGATGCTACTCCTCCTAGTACTACTATTCCAGACGACGCAAGGACAAGAAGTAACGATTGACTCTTTAGAAAACGGCCCTGGTATACTCCCCTTTAATTTAGGAACTACCCGAATGGTGTCCCACTACCACTCCTTTCTTAGTTACGTTAATCTAGATAAAATTCAGTATCAAGTTGATTCAATTAGTTTAAAGCTTTCCGAAGTTCGTCCTAGACTAAATAATAAAACTTCATTCTTATTCGAACCACATATAAACTATCTTACGACTAAATTATCTAAAATATATTCGCAATTAAAGACGTTTCAACACGGCCGCAATAAAAGAGGTCTTATAGACGGACTAGGTTCTATAATCAAAAGCATATCCGGTAACTTAGACCAAACCGATGCAATTAAATACAATACTGCTATAAAAACTCTACATGAAAATGAAGAGAAATTAGAAGTTCAAATAAAGCAGCATGTGAGTTTATCAAAAACTTGGATGTTGCAAAACTCTGATTTATTAACCAATATTACCAAAAATCAGGAACGGATAGGCGATGTTTTAAATTCTATGATAAAAAATAAAGACTCGGACTTTACTTATTTCGCCCATATGGCCCAACATCTACTTATTTTAAGTGATAATATAGATAGCTTATTCGAAGCTCTTCATAAGTTAGAATATACCTTAGGTTTTATACGTGCATCGAGCACACCACATACAGTAGTTAGTTTAGCTGAAATTAAGAATATGTTAGTTAAATTAAGGATTTTATATTCGAATGATGAAATTCTTGACTTAGAATTAAGGGACTACTACGATATAATTAGGCTAGGATACTTTTATATGGATAATCAAATAGTTATAGTCTTTAAGATGCCGATTGCCTTCCCTCAAATTTACAACTTCTATAAACTATCCACTATACCTAATAAGAATAATCAAATCCTCCTACCTACCTTACCGTATATAGCAATTTCTGGAAACGATTCTACGTACATGGAGGCTGAATGCCCGAAGGTAAATTCCTTGTACCTCTGCGAAACTAAGACAAGATACGAAAGACCAGATGAACCGGACTGCATCCAGCACCTGATCCTCCACCAGGAACTTCTCCCATCATGCAAACTTACTACAGTCAAATTGAGGAAAGAAGCCGTTGAACAACTAGATGAAAAGCATTACACCATAAATTTCCCACGACCCACAAAGGTGAAGATAGTCTGTAAGCAGGAAATCCACAAACTCTAGAAGGAAGCTATCTGGCTGTCATCCCACATCACTGCTTTATCAAGACACCACATTTCACTATAGCAAATTCCAACAACCACATTAAGGGATTTGCTCTGGAAATCATACAACTGCCTACATCTAATGAGCTACCGGCGTCAAGGGAGCCACCAGTCATACTAAACTCTATTGCCTTAGAAAATCTGCACTCCATTAATAAGAAGATAATGTTAGAAACTCCAGTAGAATTGAGCAACGTCACCGATATGAGCCTGTACCATACAACTATTCCTGTCTACCTTATACTACTCGGTGCAGGTGCACTCATTATTGCACTGATGTATCGTCAGCAGCGATCACAACATTCTCAGAAGAACCAGTCTTTAGAAGGTCATAATTTAGCAGCTTCTAGAGAGAGTGCTGAATCCCAACAATCAAGGAAGATTAATCCCAGCGAGATTATAATTGACCACAGCAATATTTCATCATCCCTTCCACGCGAGATTTCGAAATAGTTGCTGATCTTCGGGGGGAGGTGTTACGCTACGGTGCAATAGACGGCCCAACGGTGTAAATGAGGAACTTTTGTGCATCGCGACAACTTTCCGTACACGAGGCGCGAACTCAGCATAAATTGTCGATCTAATTTCAACCCGTGTAAAGAGCGTCATTCTTGGTACAACATCGACCAATTATCACCTACTTATTGTAATTTTAATTAATTAAAGTTATATTTTAAGAAACAATTTGGTTTCCTTTGCATCCTCCGGCTACAGCCTACGTAATTAATGTGTATTTTTTTACCTAAAAAAAGCTACACTTGTTTGTCGACTGATTTTAATACAGTGGAACGTTCCGCTGCCTCGTTGGCCGAGTGGTCGTAAGTGCGACTGCCGGGCAAGGGGTCTCGGGTTCCATTCCCTGATCGGGAAAAGTATTGCTGGGTTTTTAAATATTCTCAGTAGAAGCACGGAGTCTGGAATTGTGCCCGGTATATGGCAACAGGCTCACTCCATATTACATAGGACTCATAACATAAATAGTGAAAAGTGGGTGTTATATTGTACAGTGGAATAATGTGCACCTCTGCCTAGTCCTTCGGGGATAAAATGAGTGATGTTATGTTATGTTACGTAGTTACGTTATGTGGAACGTTGCGCGGTTAAAACCGCCACTATGCCTCCCTAGTCCGACAGGGGCTTAGAATTGTATCTTTATTTTTGAACTGATATTTCAAAAACATTTTATCAACCATTTTACTGTAATATTTTTTTATAAACACTTTATTTAACACCACAAAATCAGTGAATTAGCGGTCGACCATTTTCATTAATCATATTGACGCCACATTGAACCACGATGTGGTTTATAGCAGTACTAATAATTGAAAGTCACATACGAATTAAACACACTGGCGATTAATTAGTTTATGAAAACATGCCTGTAATGAGAGATACCTTCACACAAAAATGAATAAGTACGTATAAAGAAGTGTGGGAGAGCCATGCTTCGGCACGAATGGGCCGGCTCGACCGGAGTGATACCACGGCCTCACAAAAAACCGACGTGAAGCAACGCTTGCGTTGTATTTCGTCGTGTGAGTGAGGTTACCGGAGGCCCAATTACCCCCCTCCCTAGTTCCCGTCTACCAAATCCCTGAATCCTCCACAATCCTCAAATTCCCAATTCCCAAAAGGCCGGTAACGCCTTGGTGTTTCGAGTGTCCATGGGCGGCGCCGATTGCTTACCATCAGGTGATCCGTCTACTCGTTTACCGGCTTATAGTACTATAAAAAAAGAAGTATAATTCTCGACCATTGAACAAATCAACCTTCTTACCACTTTAACTGCCAAGTTTAAAATGGTGAAAATTAAACTGGTGACTCTAAGGGTCAAAAGAGAAGGTGTCTGTTCGTCTGTCATCTGATAATCCGTCAGCTTGCTTGCCTAGTTCATGAAATATCCAACTGCAGCACACAACGTCTTCAATTTTAAGTGTGGGAGAGCTTTGCTTTGGCACGATTGGGCCGGCTCGAGCGGAGTGATACCACGGCCTTACAGAAAACCGACGTGAAGCAACGCTTGCGTTGTGTTTCGTCGTGTGAGTGTGGTTACCGGAGGCCCAATTACCCTCCTCTTCCCCAATCCCCCCAATTGCTGAATCCCCAACGATCCTCAAACTCCTAATCCCCAAAAGGCCGGTAGCACACTTGTTATGCCTCTGGTGTTCCAGGTGGCCATGGGCGACGCCGATTGCTTACCGTCAGGTGATCCGTCTGCCAGTTTACGCGTATAAGCGATAAAAAAAATCGAAGTTTCTCGAATTCAATTAAACCTTCTCATAATATATATATTTGTCAGGAAAATTTTCACACAAACAGTGAAGTGTCAAAGTATGAGGAAATTTAATCCATAAGCCATAACTTTTGTTAAAAGAACATTTTTACAAAAGCTCCTCTCTGCCGTGACTGCGTCAAAAAGTTGATCCTATCTTCCGTTGTGGACGTAATATTACAATGGATGTGGCATTCGCATTCACATTCTAACCGACTTAAGGCCGATTTTTCAATACTCAGATAAATTTTAACCGAGGAATAACATTCAATATATGACAATACTAAAATCTGTCAAATATCAATTTAATTTATTCTACATGATTGAAACATCGACCCCTAGATTCTCTAAGGGTATTCGAAGAAGTTTGCAAATTCAATTCGTATTTGGAATTTATGTGGTGATCTTTGGTAGATTTTTTGGTATTAAAATCATGTTATCTACAATTATTGCTCCACAAAACTACCCTTTTAACTCTTATTTAATTTGTTAAGATGGTATTTTTTTTAAGGGGAGAAAATCATCGAATGACTGCTGCCGCCCGGGTGAGGCGGGAGGAAGTGTCAGACTCTTTCTGACTAAAAACCATCCCGTTCCTACTCCTGCACTTCGAGCCAGAGCCCCGGTGACCCATTAGGTTCTCCGCGGTGCTAAGATGGTATAGGATACTATTTACAGTACACGTACTTACTGACTTATTTATTTCTATAGCATTACCACGAGTAGACAATAGACTTAACTTTTGTTAGATAACATCTATGCCTTTACTTCTTGCTAGCCCTTGTCGTCCCTGTTGTAATGACAGACAAACATTAGTGCTAAACGAAACTGCTACTTGTAGTTAAGGTTTTGACTGCCAATGGAAAACTGTTGAAGCTAAATCCTTCGTAAACGTCGGCCAACGGCGACCCCCATGGCGTTTAATGTGTTAAAATTATGTAACTGTTTGACAAAGATATCGAGAAAAGCTCTACTAGTTTCAAACCACGGAGGGGTTCTTCCTCATGAGCAGCGTGCGCGGTCGCAGCGATGATGTCGCGCAGCCTACTGAGTATATTCACTCGAGTCCCCCACGATTTTTATATTTAATATGTCTCACGATAGTTATTATAAAGACAAAGATATCATTAAAATAAGTTTACGCTAGTTATTTCGTTCTGGCATCCATCTCGGCTGTACGCATCCCTCATTCATTTTACTCTTATACCACATCCAAACTCTTAGAACATCTGTGGAAGAGGCGTTTATAAGTTTTTCATGAAATTGAGTGCGGCGTCCCGGTTTAATATAAAGCCTCATCTATTCACCTCCTGAACAATATGACAAACTTTCACACATACAATCACACTCTTCAAAGAATTTTCAGCCTTAATTGTGTAAGACTGTAAGTTGAAACTTCTTTGCAGGCCGCTACTGCAGTCGTGGTTGTGATTTGCGGTAATATTTAAAAGTTTTTTTATTGGTGTTTTATTTTATTTTTAAATTATCATCTTAATACTTTTTGCTATGTACCTAGGTACTATTTGCTAATTTACGGTGCTAATAGGAACACGGTACCTATTTAAGATAACATTGTTATTGTAGAAAACAAACAGTCCGTCTCAATACGATATCTTCTGTATAATGTATATTATATATATAAATGTACCTTCTGTATATATATTTATAATATGACTGCAGGGTTGGCGCTGTGGCTGGGCAACCGGCTGCCGTGCAACGTGTCGCGCGTTCGATTCCCACACGGAACAACACTTTGTCTGATCCACAAATCGTTGTTTCGGGTCTGGGTGTGATGTGTATATGAACTTGTATGTTTATAAACGCACCCACGACACTGGATAAAATTCTACGCAATTTAAAACAAAATTAAAGTCGTGTTAGTTACAGTATTTATAACTAAAGAACAGCTATATCGATTCGACTGAAAATTGGTGAGGAGGTAACTTAGAACCGGGAAACGGATAAATGGTACTTTTTAACCTAAGATTTTCCAAAAATCCCACGAGAACGGGAAAATAAATCACGAGGAAAAACTAGTTATATAAAACTAAATAGAATATATTTGGACCATTAACTACTTACTACTGTCGCAAGTGCGACTGCCGCGCATAGGGTCTCAGGTTCGATACCTGGGTCGAGCAAAGTATTACTGGGTTTTAAAATAAAATAAGTAGTAGCACGGAGCCTGGAATTGTGCCCGGTAGGCTAGGAATAGGCTCACCTATTGCCATATAGCTCCCTATTACATGGAACTCATAATATTATGGTAATTACATTTTATAGTGGCATTAAGTGCATAGTAATAAACCTCTGCATACCCCTTCGGGGGTAAAAGGCGTGAAGTTATGTTATGTTAACTACTTACTAAGTACTAAACTATTCAATACATTCCATTAATGAATTCAACAATAAATATCTAACAAAATGATAACATTTAACAGTTAACTGAGTAACTGATGCAAACCGCATTGCAGTTATTTAGTTATTAATTATTGCATGTAATTTTTTAAATTATAATTTGTGTCAGTTAATTGATGCGAGTTATAACACCAGATCAACTAATTAGTTTTGTTTTAAACGGTTTTATTTGTACGTACGTCATCAGTTTTAAATAATTATAGTAAATTATTTGTGTATTTACGGAGTAAGCTGATGTACACATATTATATACATGACATCGCGCCTTTTATCCCCAAAGGGATATAATAGGCAGAGGTGCACATTACGGCACTTAATGCCACTGTACAATGTAACTCCCACTTTTCACTATTTATGTTATAAATCCCATGTAATAGGGGGTGAGCCTATTGTCATATACCTCATTTCCAGACTCGGAGCTACCATTAAGAATATTCTTAAAAACCCAGCAATCCTTTGCCGGACCCAGAAATCGAACCTGAGACCCCTAGCTTGGCAGTCACAATTCCAACCACTCGGCGAACGACGCACTCAATAACAAATAACTTCTAACTTAGCTTAAAGTGGTTAAATATAAATAAACACATGCATCTTTTTTATGGAATAGGAGGCAAACGAGCATACGGATCACCTGATTGTAATCAATCAGCGCCGCCCATGGTCACCCACAACACCAAAGGAGTCACAGGTGCGTTGCCGGCCTTTTAAAAAAGACTTCGCTCTTTTCTTGAAGGTTTGAACGTCGTATCGGTTCAGAAATACA